AGTCACCGCCTACGAGGCGCCGCCTTCCCGCGCCACTGCCCCAGCGAGCGGCAGCTCCGTCGAGGTGCCGTCTCTCCTGCTGGGAGGCAACGCGGCCAGACACCCAGGGCACGGTGCGATGCAGTGACCTGGTGACCCGGCACCCGCCTCCGAGCATCCCGCTGCCCTGTGCGGGTCAGGCAGGGCCGTGGGGAACTCGGCGCCGGGCCTGTGCCAGCTACGCCGCCCCGCTGCTGCCCCGCATCAGGGCTCGGGGTGTTAAAAGAAAGACAAAAATCCAGCTGTGATAGGAGCAGGTAGAGACAGGAGGGATGGTCCGGCGCGGGGTCCGATGTGCCTGGGACGCAAGCAGGAGGAAGAGCTGGAAACCTCCCCCTGGCCCAGGCGGGTGATGCTGCCTGCAGACAGCTGCTCTGCCAGCAGCCCGGACCCAGTTTTTCCACCCGTGCCCACTTGCCCAGCGAGTCAAACCCCGCGGGAGCCCTGCAGTGCCTCCGCATCGCCCCAGAGCCTCCAGCACCTTCACCGAGCTCCTAAACGGCTCAAATTGCTGATGTCCACATGGGACAAGCTGTGTTGGCAATGCAGGCTCAGGCACGTAGCATGAGGACACCCCACGAGGCAGAGGGAGCCCAAGCGAGGTCCCCACCCGCAGTGACACGCTCCCAGCATCACCATCCCATCAGCAACGCGGTCCCTGGGCAGCAGCTGGCAGAGCCCCACGAGGCTTCATCTCAGCCCATTAAACACTGGGTGCAGCAGGACTATTAAAAGGAGGTTAAATTTAACTTGTACTAATGATAATAAAAAAAAGCCACTTCTTGTTACAACACCTCTGAATAACGCGTGAGCGCCCACGTCCAAGCGAGCTCAGGCTGGGACGGAGAGCCGGGACAAGCCCGACACACGGCGACGCGGGCGTGAGGAAGGGGAGGACACCAACCCCGAGAGGGACGGGGGATTTACCGTGACTCACAGCCACATCACGCACCCCAAAGAGGCTGTGATGAAAGTCTCTCATTGCTTAAATTGGAGGGGTAATTAGATGATCCAGTTTCCCTCTAGCAAGGCTGTTAAAATCCACTGTCTAGTTTGGGTAATTATCGCTTCTCACTTTGATCTCCCCTATACATTCTGTTTGCATAGATAAAAAGTTTGAGGGTTAATTTGTCCTTAGCCAAACAGGGCTGGATGACGCAGAAGAGGGACCTGTGGCCGAAGGATGGAGCCGACCTCCTGAGAGCTGCAGGAAGGGGCGTAGAGAGGCGTGCCGGCGGGACGAAGGCTGGCTCTCATCTTCCTCTTCGCCCTTCCTGCATTAACACTTTTTTTTTTTTCCCCCCTTTTCCAAAACCCTCGAAGTCCTTGGGTGTAAGCAGGGGGGATGCTGGATGCCTGCAGGACCCCAGGCTCCCACGTCCCTCGGCACGGGGATGGCACAGCCCTGCGACCTCCGATGGGCAAGGAGAGGCACCGGCAAAGATCCGGGGGTCCGGAGCCAGAGCCGGGTCGTGCAACGCCTCCTTCAAAGAGCTGCTTGGGGTACGCCTGCCCAAAAGCAGCCAAAGCAAGAACCCAAGTGCCACCGAGGGCATCGACTCCCCTCATCTCCTTCCAACGGGGATTTTTGGGGGGTGGCAAGTCCAGCAGAGCAGCTCACACGTCAGGTGCATGCCGGACGCAGCACGGCCAGCCTCGCCGTGCAGCAGGCAGCTTGTTTCCCCTCCCCCCTGCGTTACAGCCCGGGATGGTTTATCTAGTGCCAGGTAGTGTCTGATCTCCCTGCGCCCCGGTGTTATCACACCGTGTGTTTGCATTGGGACGGTGGCAATTCCCCTCGGCTGCGGTGCGAGAACTCGTTTATCCGGTACCTTCCTTCGCCCCAACCCGTCGGGCTCGTCACGCCTGCGAGGAGGCGGCAGCAACGAGTGTCCCAACAGAGGAGGTGCCATCGCCGGGATCCGGGGAAAGAGCAGGCGTCGCACCGAGGCCGAACAAAGCCCCGTCTGTGGCGCTGCCGCCGATCGAGGCCGAGGCTGCGCCGCGGGGAGGAGAACCAGCGAGTGCAAACAACCAGCTCGGAGGGACCGACCGGTCACCGACCCTGCTGGGATGTCCCGAGGGGAAAGCGGCCTCTGGGCTGGCAAAGGGGGCTGAGCTGGGCCCGCTGCTCCAGCATCCTGCGTTGGCGAGGGCTGGTAATCGGGGTGGCAGCGCCCGGTGCCACGCTGCCTCCTGGAAGTTCACCTGGCGGCGGCACTTCCCCGGGGCGTTTTCCCTTCCGCCTGGGCAGCGGCTGAGCGCGGGGCTGGCGCGGCGGCGACGGCGCTGAGT